ATGGAGTTTTATTTCCATAGAACATATGGTCTCTTGTTGCCAATTGAAATCTCACAAAACGTTCATGATTTCCATTTGCATGATAACCAACCTGATTAAAAGGACTAAACTCCCTTGGGTGGCATCACCTTTGGAAGGTAGAGTCACCAGTTGATCCTTATTGTCTACTGTGAGTAGGGCACATCACAGGTTTAACAGCTGGAGTCCCCTTTTGAGATCTTCAGAATGATAACAGGTCCATAGGAAGTGACCATCACAAGAACCAGAAGTGGGATCGGGGCACAGATATAACAGTAGTTCATTGGAGGTTTATCACGTGTTTGACTATGTCCCTGAATTTTCTGAATTAGTCTTTTTTAAGCGATTCAGTAACGATGTTTACTTAATCTTGATCTTGTGACTAATTGTGAGATTCATTAGGTACCCACGAACAACTATTAACTATCCAAAGATTACAAGATGTCATAACCCACCAGTTTCTCGTTTTCTCGTGAGGTTTGACATTTTGCCCATACGCAAGAGCATTGGGCAGCAGAATACTATTTCCTGTGTAACTGTTTCTGGATATTTGACATTTCAGTGGACTTCTTATGAAAGTTGAAAGATTTTTATTGTGTGATGACAGCCAAAATAGAGGATTTATGGCTATGATGTAGTAGATGTAGATGTTACCACAGACTTTGACTTTAGAATGTGATATGATATGAAATACTGATGTGATGAAATATGTTTCAGAAACATAAGATATTGTCCACACACGTACTGATACTGTCAAAAAGATAAAAGATACACTAAATAACCCGTCCATATTCAAAAGAGCCGATTGTTAGATTTCAGCCATATCATGAGCAAGTGTCCTATATATGTCAGGGGGTAGCCTAGTGGTTAAATTTGATTCCCGACATGGGTCCACTGTGTGAAGCCCATTTCTGTTGTCCTCCACCATGAAATTGCTGGAATATTTCTAAAAGCAGCTAAAGCACTCACTCACTCACTCACTCACTCACTCACTCACTCACTCACTCACTCACTCACTCACTCACTCACTCACTCACTCACTCACTCACTCACTCACTCACTCACTCACTCACTCACTCACTCACTCACTCACTCACTCACTCACTCACTCACATACATACATATGTCGGCCTGGAGACTTCTTATTTGTAACCCCATGAAGCCCCAAAGTACAAATCACATGTGATTGTTTGAAATGGAGGAACGGGATCAAATATCATTGAAAGCTCATAATGATTTTAAGACCGTAGAATATGGAGCATGGGCCCATTTTGTTGTTTTTAGTTGTTTATTTAGAAATATAACATAGTTACGCGATAAATCGCAAAGAACGAAGCGTGGTTTATTTCACGATAAAACAATGTTCATCATTTCTTGAGATTTGAACATGCGCTCACAACTTGATGACGTCGTAAATGGGACAACATTATTTTTGAGAGGCAATTAAGTGTCTATTGAGTTGTTCCTCATAGATAAGCTGGACAGCACAGATGAACGCAATGGCCGAACGATCGCAACCAAAAGTGGGAGACATATGACAATTGGTATTCAAAGAAAAGGTGCATATAATCAACATGAAAATTGTGAGAATACCAAACTTACCACCCCTGTACATAAAATGGAGAGTCATCATTATTTAAATACGAGTAAATGTTTCCATAGGTTGTACAATTTATTGACATCCTTAAAAAGACTGTACAAAAAATGTTGATAATTCTTATGAAACTTCTACCTCTATTTCATCTCTGCCATAAATCCTGTATTTTGGCTTCAATCACACTTACTAAAATTTTCAGATTTTCAACTTCATTGTCAATCGCACAATTAGTCGCCGCCAACCACTAGTCTCGTAACTACCCAAGCCATGATGCCATAATGACAACAGCATCACTTTTTTCCTGTGTGTGCTAGAGTCAACACCAATTATAATAGTAGTAATGATCTAGCACTTGGTAGTAAGTCACATTAATCTAAAATTATTCAAATAGTTTTCTATAAATAACAGACATATAAGTATACATTTTTTTTGCTGCTGGAACTTATAGCACACACGTAAGTATAGCTGGTGCTTGGTGCTCTTTGAGAAGGCAACATGCAGTCTCCCTCTACCCCAGGGTGTAAGAAGTATGGCCGCTTCATGGTCACAGGAGATCCTCATGAAAGCTGCATGAAGTACAGAGGCACTACTAGTAATAAAGACAAGAGATGCGAGAAGTGTGTCAACACAGACAATAAGATCTTCTCCAAGATGGCCGAGGCTACAACTGAGGCCAAGAGATGAGAGGCAACCAAGAAGGTGGAAAACATCATGGCTGAGAAATCAGTCTCAACCTTAACGCCTCCCTCTCTAGATATCCAACTATCTCCTGGACTCTCTATGAGTCTGATTCACCAGCTATTTCAGCAGCAAGAGGAGATGGTGAAGTGCATGTTCGAGATAAGGCTCTCAGTGCGGGATGAAGAAATGGTAAAAATCAAGGAGATAGCTCTGGCAAAGAAGAATTGCCGACTCTTCAAACACCTCCCTCAGATGACCAGCAAGCTGAGCCATACATCCAGCCAGTTTAAGACACCGTACTGTGGTTACATGGACTCCATGGGCCTGCCTTTCATGGCAACCGACAAGCTCTCTAACCAACCAGCTGTCAAAGCACCATACAGTCGTCGCACAGACTCCATAGACCCAACGCGCACGGCTACGTAGCCGACCGGCCAATCGTCCAGCCACCGTACGGCTACACCACGCCGACCGACCAGCCACTGGGTTTACCGTATGATCTTCATCAACCTGCAGCTTCCAAGCCAGCCGCACAGGTGCCACGGGATCGTCCAGTAAACCGTTCTACCGACCGGTCAGACAACCGAGAGGACAGCCAATGCACAGCTACCGTTACCCACGGACCATCACAGGCTGCACAGAGATCAATTATACCGGAATCATGGACACTGCAGGAGGATGACCCCACTGGGTAGATGACAAGAAATATGATAACCCACCCCACCACCGGAGCTACCTTAGGTCATTCGGAGGCAGAGGCGGAGTACAAAGATCAGGCTGATGACTCACCCCAGTGGGACTACAACGAAGGTTACACAATTGTAGAGCTAATGGAAGAACTCTACCATCTTATGCCTGTACCCCCACCTCCTGTGACACAGAATGAGCCACCCCAGATGCCGGAATATGGGGGATGTCATGCTCCTACATAGTCTCAACACATTCATCAGACATAACCTTGGTCCAGTTATGCTGGCAACATGTCTGACAGTCTCAACCTCAAGCATTATGAACAACAACCTTTACCTCCATTAAAGCAGAAGTTATATAGAACGCATGAAGCTCCACTTCCGGAATTCCCTAGTTTGGATGAATATTTTTACAAGTTGGTACGCAACCCCAATCCTACCATCACGTTACCTGCTACAAGGATTAAGGATCTGACATCGGTTTCCAGATACACTATGGATACTGGCGGTTACATAGATTGGTTTGTCGCCGGAATCAGACACATCATTCCACCATTACAGCCATCCTATGAAGGAGTAACCAGAGAAATGCCCATATCTATTTGAACCGATCAAGTAGGACTCATCCATAGCCTTCGAGACACTATTGTCAGGATGAGGATGCTTATCGACCTAAAGACCCTCTACAAAAGATATCGGGTACCGCCACCAAAGTTCAAGATGGAGTCCATACTGAAGTTAAGACTGGCTGATCAGCCTGGACCTTCAAGAGCTTGATATAAATAGACTGATAAATCTTTTAAGATGGTTGCATTTGATGACAACATAAGCATATTAAATATGTGGATTGTTGGACATTCATAAAATTGTATAAGGCAATGTACAACTGTCGCAATACTTGATATTTACAGAATGCAAATCTTGTAGCATCTACCTGAGGCAAGGGAGTTAACTGACTGTAAACATCCAGTTTCCATCCTTGCAGTACAAGGCTGGAATTCCTGAATCAGATTTTGGCTGGACCAACGAGTCCATGCGTAGTCCTATCAGAATTACCCAACAAACTAAGCATCCGGGTAGTAAAGAACATGGATTTCAACGTGCAGGATTTAAAAAGCATGTGTACCGTCAATTGGGTATCGACATATATTTTTTCAATCTTTTTATGGTTTTAATCAAGGTGCTCAAATGATTTGATGCACTTCTGTTTTATTACAATATAGATCTTGATTGTCGATCAGATTGTCTTGACTGGGCGCCATCCTATTTGTTGAAAGCAAATGCAAGCGATATGAGAGGTGGAATCTGATTGGACAATGGGAGGGACATAGGAGGGGCATATTAACTCATGATAGCCACTGGTGGTGCTACAAATTGAGCCACGAATTGTTAAGCAAGGGTGGAAACTGGACTTCTGTTGTCAATTAACACCCTTGCCTCAGGAAGATGACCTTGTTGATGTGAAGCTTTTAGTCTACCTAAACATTCAATTGAAAGTAACATTTCTTTTCAAACGATCTTGTCTAATTAATAATTGTGAATCCATAGACTTGTAAAATATGCTTAATCCTTGATGCCCAACTTTTATAACAAATACTTTCCATTTATACAAGCATATTATCAGAGTTTTTGACATTCTCACCATGAATAATGTCTTCCAATGGGACATGTATTTAGATTCCTCATTATGGTGCTGTACTTTACAGAGCAAGATGTATTGGTTACAATAGTCTAAAACTGAATTACAAATGAAATTGTTTGAACTCTATACCATGAAAACCTAACGTATTGAAATAAAAGACAATGAAATCAGATATACAGGAATCTCAAATTCTATAAATTGATTTATTTTTAATGTGAAGTTGTCATTATTGTCATACCAGGATAGTCTTCTAAAGAACTTGAAAAGCATCACATTATCACGTTTTTGTATATCGTGGGTGAAGGTGAGCTTCTGTACCTGTTGTACTCTAGTTATCATCAACATACTGTATGTGTTTTTGTATATGTATCAGGTGCCCTAACAAAAGGGGACAGACGGGCAGCAACAGGAGCTGACTTGACAGAGTTTAATTTTGACACACCTTATGGACGAAGTGCGCTGAGAAGTATGTACCACTGCATCTGCCAGGTAGGTGGAGCCCTGCACCAGGGACATTGTCCAGGTACAACCCAGTTAACTAACACTGATGTACCACCAACAATGATGGAAGACAGGTCCCTTAGGGTTGTAGAAACAGTTTGTTAGTTGTTAAACCTCACTCTGCAATATACTAGCTAAATGACAGCAGTCTGTAAATAATCAAGTCTGGGCCAAACAGTGTATGTAAAAACAGGTCAAGCTTTATATGTTAAGGCAATAAAATAACTCCTTCCCAGAAAGCAGTTTTAAGCGATGCATCCCTCGAGTGTTATGTATGGACAAGTGTATGACAACTCAGTCTCTTCTAATAGGATTTCTATGAATTTGAAGATGTTATGTGCAGCTATGAATGTAAGACATGTTCGACTGTCTTCCTGTTCCAGAAAAAACTTGTTCCAGGTGTTTCTTTATCTAAGATGACAAATGGAGTGTATGATTTTGATGAGTTGAACATGCTGCTGCAGGTAAGTGCTCAAAAGATGCTCAGTTTTGGATGCTGCATAAGAATAAACTAACAACTAACTTTGAATTTTGTTGAACTGGGAGTAAATGCTGCTTATTTTGATGCATTGAAAATGTTGACAGCGAGTTTGTGCTATCTGCCTATCAGTTTACACACGATTTCAGCTAAATTTGTTTCCAGCGTATTTTATATGTTCAATCAAACACAAAAGTAACCGGAAGTTCTGACCTGCTACAGTTCCACCGTCATCCGAAATACTGATTACATTAATGATCTGGTTTGAACTATAACCAGTTACTATGTATATGTTAGTGAAATGCCACCTCGCACACTGCTGCCATCTTGCGTGTCATATTTCAGTGAAAACATTCTTGCAAGCAGCAATTATACTGTAACAGTAGGATCTTTTTTTTCAACCACAACATTCAACCCCACTCCTACCTTGGAAAAGACCTTTTGCTCAATTTGTAGCTGTACTCATGCAATTTTTGTCTTGTCAAGAATTTGTGTGATGGTGACGTCTGCAATGTATTTCCAGATCTATGTAACAGAGAACATAAGCATCCTCTTTGGGATTTTCATTGTTGGTTTTATCCTGGAGTTCACCTTTAATTGTCCACTAGTTATTAAATATGTTATTTGTGACCAACCCTTTCACTTGTCCACTAGTTATTAAATATGTTATTTGTGACCAACCCTTTCACTTGTCTATCCCCCGCCCAAACGAAGTTGGCGGGGGATATAGAAATGCGTGCGTGCGTGCTTGCGTGCTTGCGTGCATGCGTGCGTGCGTGCGGAGCATAACTCAGAAACCGTTAAATATTTCTCTACGAAACTTTGCATGTCTATCAGACTCATGCTGAACTGGTTCCTTTTGCTATTTAGGAATTTTATAAATTTTTATTTTTTACGTTTCCATTGCAACAAGTTGGACTTACATGTAGGTTCTATAAGGGTGCTGTTCGTTTCCGGAGCATAACTCAAAAACCGTTAAATAATTTCTTACAAAACTTTGCATGTTTACCAGGCACATACTGAACTGGTGCCTTTTGCTGGTCCCCCCCTCCCTATAAAAGCAGCTGGGTTTCACCCAAATACAGAAGTAACAAGGATGAAATAACATTTCTAATATTTGATTGGTCGCTTGAACTTACTGTCTGCATGAGATCATCCTTCCTGGAGATGGCTTTCTTATGCATGCACTGCTAACATGATAAATAATTCTTTGCTGCCTTCAGTGCAATGCTGCATAGTTAAGACTAATTGTGACTTTTAAAGATTATTCTTTTACTAAAACTTGAATTTGTGTAGAAACTTTCATGATGCAGAAAAGAAATATTCAAAAACAAACATTCTGATTTTACCTTATCCTGACTCATACTACTTACTTTTATCTCATCGCGATGTCAACACGCATGTTGATGGGAAATTAGCTCTTGGGGGAATCAAGGACAAAATCGACATCACCGTCCTGGAACGTTTTATGCACAGCATGTAAACAATAAGCAACAAATACACAATGAGCGGAATACCTGCTCTGACAACACAAACACAGCAATGAGCGGACCTTCCAGCTCAGGCATACATGAGGTGAGCGGAGCTCCAGCTCAACCTCAGGACGTTTCCTACGAGCGGCACATCCTGCTTGAGGTCGTCCAAAGTTTGACTAACACCATGTAATGGTGACACATATAGAGTAATGAACAACAATGGACAGACAATGACGTTGCTCTGGCCATGGGACTTCTGGGGGTGGTGAACCGACACAACTCAGGGGATGAACAATTAAGGCAATATATGTCATACTATAAATAACAGTAATTAACGGGAAGTGATATAGTAGCCCAGGTTGGCTGACAGTCAATATACAATGAAATGGTGGGGAGGATTAACAACGGGGATTAGAGCCTAATACATAATGACAATTAAGTTATGGAGACATGCACATGTCATGGCAACAGGGTAACTAGCCTTTTTAATCAAATGTTCGACAGATAATGGTTGTTGTAAATCAGTTGCTATGACAGCATTCCCAAAAGGTCGTGGAAACCCCTGTGCTGTGTTCCCAAGAACAGAGAAAAACAACTTGCCCAACCACACCCCTCAGCTTTGCAGCTACACCAGAAGCATGTGACCAAGTCTTACGCACTTGTCACGATCTTATTTTCACGTCAACTGGGTGGTTGGGCTAAATTTCTGTGCTCTTATAACCTAAGCCATCCTGTCAAAATTTAAAGTTTTTATTGAAATATTTAGCTTGGATTACCTTCTTCAAATTTTTTTTTTTCTACTTTGGCTTAAACCTTTTCACTAATTTGGGTTAAGACTTTGCCTTTTTTTGTATGATGAGATTTTGTGACATTTATTACCTAGGTATTGAGTTGAGTTTATAATGTCAATAGCAAGGGTCATGTCATCGAATGTTATTCATTACATGCACCATACCATACGATAATTTTCTATGAAAACTTTGTCCATTATGAATATTAAATTCAACAGGCTAATCTGTGCTATGCATTTGTGACTGTTAGTTATCAGGTAATATACTCCAATGGGCGTTTATTTGTAGTTAAGTCGGCTTGAAAACTTGAGTAATTCACAATCGTATTCCGTTTCTCTCACATGCCCAAACTTAATCATGCCATAGCATGCGCAGTCAGCTGTCAGCAATTCCTTTGTCCAGCTCACAACACATGGTTCATTCAAGCACGCTTCGTAATGGTCGGATCTTGACTGAACCCACCACCTCCCTCACCACCACCTTGGTGTATTTCTGTAGATATAAGCTGCAATCACTACATAGATTCATACACCAATTGTTATAGCATTGACTCATCACTACCTTCTCATTTATATTCTGACAGATCTCAAGAGCAATCCTGGAGCTTGGAAGCAATTAAGTAATCCAGGACAGATAGGGGGATTCTCATCAATTCAGTTCCACAATTATCATAATAACAATATGGCAATCTCTCCACTCTATCAGAGGGTAATTCAGGCGGATACTATTCCCCCTGCAAGTGATTTAACCTTCGTCTCTTTTTTGTTTTTCATCATTCGTCTACTCTGCCAGGTACTCCTGGCGCTCGGGAGCAAGTCTAGGGGTGCGCGACTCCTACTTGTATTACTTGGCAGAGGTACAGCCCCTGGATCAGGAATATTTCTTCACCGTCCATGTTCGTATGCTCAGCCAAGTCTCAGTACGCTCAAACAGTATGGAGTGCGCGACTCCTATTTAGAGACTTGGCTGAAGTTAAGTCTTTCATGTACTATTTTTATGTGTCATGTATATATGTGTATACCGAGAATCCCCATATGCCAAAAATTTAATAAATGTTGTTCTTTTATCTGTTTTCGTGTTGTTATTGACATTATAAACTGCGGCTTGTGTTTCAGATTCTGATCCACACCCTATCTGTTCAACATGCGTCCCTCAACTATGCACTAGAGAGACTCATAGTAGTTTCTATGCATCCCTGGGGGAAGAAGACTTTGCAGCCTACTTGTATGTAGGACAGAGGAAGAAGCTGGACTGTAAAAGACATGATTCTGCTTGGTCATCTTCTTCAACTGAAGCGGCTACTATTATGCACCTAAAAAGAAGAAAAGTAACAATTTTTTCTTCAGATGATGACAGATCATTTGTAGTTGTAGTTGAGATGGCTGCTGAGAACCCTTCATCGCCGACGTCAGAAAGATCCATCGCTGTGTCCCTTATATCAGGCGACGAGAAGCAGGAGAAGATGAAGAAACTGTCATCGACAAGGAACAAGAGCAACTCGTGCTTAATGTTGAAGGATGGCTGCTCAAAGGTCCCCACCTCCATGAAGCCTATATCATTTCCCAAAGTGGGTTCTATCGCATCTACTTCCATCCCCAATGATGTGTCTCAAACTTCTCACTGTTCTGCTCAGGCTCAGGCTCCAAACCCTAAAGCCCCCTTCTTTGTACAGGAAGAAGATGTGTTTGAGCCATCTTTTGCTGATACATCCTCACATCATGAGGAAATACCTACTATCTATGCCGACCAGTAGTTGCTGATACATCCTCACATCATGAGGAAATATCTTCTATCTATGCCGACCAGGAGTTGCTGATACATCCTCACATCATGTGGAAATACCTTCTAACTATGCCGACCAGGAGTTGCTGATACATCCTATCTATGCCGACCAGGAGTTGCTGATACATCCTCACATCATGAGGAAATACCTTCTACCTATGCCGACTAGGAGTTGCTGATACATCCTATCTATGCCGACCAGGAGTTGCTGATACATCCTATCTATGCCGACCAGGAGTTGCTGATCCATCCTCACGTCATGAGGAAATACCTTCTATCTACACCAACCAGAAGTTGCTGATACATCCTCACGTCATGAGGAAATACCTTCTATCTATGCCGACCAAGAGTTACTGATACATCCTCACATCATGAGGAAATATCTTCTTTCTACACAGACCAGGAGTTGCTGATACATCCTCACGTCATGAGGAAATACCTACTATCTATGCCGACCAGGAGTTGCTGATACATCCTCACGTCATGAGGAAATACCTACTATCTATGCCGACCAGGAGTTGCTGATACATACTCACATCATGAGGAAATACCTACTATCTATGCCGACCAGGAGTTGCTGATACATCCTAACATCATGAGGAAATACCTACTATCTATGCCGACCAGGAGTTGCTGATACATCCTCACATCATGAGGAAATACCTTTTATCTATGCCGACCAGGAGATGCTGATACATCCTCACATCATGAGGAAATACCTACTATCTATGCCGACCAGGAGTTGCTGATACATACTCACATCATGAGGAAATACCTACTATCTATGCCGACCAGGAGTTGCTGATACATCCTCACATCATGAGGAAATATCTTCTTTCTATGCCGACCAGGAGTTGCTGATACATCCTCACATCATGAGGAAATATCTTCTTTCTACACAGACCAGGAGTTGCTGATACATCCTCACGTCATGAGGA